GAGATGGCATCTCTCCCTTGAATCCAGAGGTAGACTAACAGCCAGTAGGCCCCAATGCTCTCACCTCTGCCTGACCCCCACAGTGCGGGTTTTAGGTACTCATGAGGCCACATCTGACCTTTTATGTGGATGCTGAGGATTGAAGCTCAGGCCCCCATACTTGGACAGCAAGCTTTTCTTACCGAGCCATCTCTCCAGCCCTGTCCAGTACATTTTTATCTTAAACATCGCCATTTTTAACTTTTAGAGTTTTGTTTCAGGTCTTTTAAAAAATGATACAATAATAAAGTACCCAGCAGATAGCGGGTTCACATCTAACTCCCTTGTACCTGTAACTTCTGTGAAAACTTACTGCCTCCTGCCTTTGCAGAAACTGCTCAAAGTTATGAAAAGACACCAGAAAAGTATATAGGGATCAATAAAAGATCTGGATAAACTTTAAAAAAAAAGTATCTTTCTTACCTTCCTTTTCTTTAGCTCCTTGAACATAAGGAGCCCAGTTCGGACTTCAGTGCCTTAGGCCATGGCTCTCCCTGTTGATTCGAGGTTGGCTTTGCCTGCTTTTTCTCAGGGTCACATTTTCCCACTGCCGTGCGTTCCTGGCCATTCTCCTTTGTTGCACCTTGTCAGGTTGGAGGTTTGTATTCCTGTATGCTTCGGCTGCTTAGGGATATGGCACTTGAATCAGTTTGATCTTCAGGTTTGGGTTTTAAACTCTTTAGTAGGACCAAGTACCCAGTGTCTCTGACCTGTCGGGTTTTCCATACTGGTGGCAGGAAGAACCCTCTGCTGTGGGGTTTGTTTGCACTTAGAATCCAGTCATCCTTTTGGGTAGTTCTTTCCTGGACTATTTCCCCTCTGAGGACCCCGGCAGATCTCCAGTTCTCAGGTAGCTCTCTGCCTCCAGTCTCTCCCTAGCAACTCCTAGCTGTAGGCTAGGTCCCTTAAGACTGGCCAGCCACCACCTGAGCCCTGCTCCTTGCAGTGTGGCCTGAGAACCCTCCAGAAGAGGAGCACAGTGCTTGGAGTCCCCTTATTTCCATCTTCATGGATCACTGTCCTTCCTGCTGCCTGATGTCCAGGGTCTTGAGAGCTGCCATTTAATGTAGTTTGTCCCCTTTAATAGTTTCGAACAAAGTAAATCTGGTTGGTCCCTGTTAGTTCCTGTGTTTTAAAAACTGAAAACGGAGGGTCTGAAGGGTCAGCAGCCTGCTTCAGTTGTACTGGAGTGACCCACAAAAGAGTCACTCAGGGAAAACCTGTTGATTTTTCCTAGGTAACCCCCCCCCCCAGGGAACTGAAGTGTTGCCTCTTAAAACCTTAGCGCTTAATTTGAACTTTTGGGGGGATGGCTGGAAATACTTATAAAGTGGATGGCCATACTCCTTCTTCCTCGACAGCATATTGAGCATGTGTGAACCATTTTGTTACCAATGTTACTTAGGGCCTTTGGCAATGCTACCAACCCCATCGGACCCAAATAACCCCTGTATGAAAATCCCATTTGTAAAATGTTTTCTAATGCCCCTGGTATCCCAAAGGGTCTGAGCCCTCGTCAGTCATCAGGCGAAGGGTACTGCACATTTCATTCCAGTTGCTATGCAACAGAGGGTATGTCATTCCTGCCCCCAGTGTGGAAACACAGCCCTCCCTGCTGCCCAAACAGCACCTCCTTGACTTCAACCTTGTACAAAATTCAGAGTTGAGGCAGCCAGAGCCCGGACTTCATGTGTTCCTTGCTCCTTGGCATGTATAGCCCAGAGTCAGGACAGCAAATACCACCAGGTCCCCCAGTGGGTCGGGAGCAATGGCTAGTGGGGCCGCTCTTGTTCTCCCCCCTAGGCTCCTGGACTTGCATATTCTCAGGAGCACAGCATCGTGGCAAAGTATCTTGAGTTCACGTATGTATCACATCCCCAAAGGGTACTGCACCTTACGGGAAAATCGCCTCTGCACCCATTCTTTCAAAGATGGTTGCAGGATTCCAAAGCTGGCTACTTTCGGCCACTTGCCACTGCAGTAACTGCCAGTGAATTCATGGTCATGGGCTCACCACACCTCCTTGGCTATTAAGTGGATTCCTCTCTGATGTGCCATATGGGATTGATATCTGTGGGTTGGTGTTCTGTCAGTAGAGTGGAGCTGGTAAGACTGTGGACAGGAAGCCTATTCCTGGAACAGCTACCCCTGTGAGGGACAAACCTCTGACTCGTTCTACACAGAGTCTAGAGCAATCCACGTGGCTACTTGATCTCTGAGGAATACCATGCCAGGGGTTAAAGTGTATTGCTGACAGGCTGGCATCAGAGGCAGCAGCCATTCCACTGAACACATGACAAGTGGGGTACGAATGTCCCCCATCTGCTCGCCACAGTCTACTCTGCCCATTGCAGTGCATTAACTGGGATCCTGTAGGTTTGGCCAGTGGAGAATCCAGCAAGCACTAGAACATTCCTTCTCCAGCTCCCTCTCTCCCAAACCATGGTCTTGCAGAAGCCTGTCCTCAGCCAAAGCTCACACCTCCACTGAGCAGACCTCACCTAGCTCCAGGCTTTCACAGGCTGCCCAGCTTCTTCCCCACTCAGGGCTCAGCCTGGGATGAAATGGTTCCTCACTGTGAAGAGCCTGAGACTTTGCTCAGCACCCCACTGCTTCCCTTCACCCCACTTTGCAAAGCCCCTCTCTAGTCAAGCTGTCTACAATCACCCTTTCTGAGGGTGCCGCCTTTTCCTTCCAGAACCCAAACCAACATGAGTGTGTTCTTTCTTACCTTTTCAAATGGATTGCAGACAGTAAACATATTATTCATTTGAATTCACTTAACCAGATGTTTATTGAGCACCAACTATGCACCAGATAGTGTTCTGTGAGAACACAGTGGTGAGGGAAACAAAGGGATATAGTTAAAAGGTAACCAAAGAGAACCAGTCCATACTCAGAATGATCTTCTGAAGGGACTGAGGATGGGAGCACCTTAGATTGGGGCAGTCTGGGTTGTTCTAGCTAGCCCTGGAGCTGGGGAGGCTCTGTGGACAGGAAGTCCATATCTTGACTTCAAGGGTAAGACGCTTGCTATTCACAGGTTTGAGAGGAGGCTAGTCCAGATAGTGAGGTAGCAGAGAAAGATAAAAGTTCAAGGGAGCAATAAGCTGCAATACACAGAAGCTTCTGGAACTGAGAACTGTACATATTACCATTAACACTAGCGGGTAATGAAGATTTTAGTGTGTTTTTAGTAAGAATGAGCACTAACCTGTAATGTGTTGGCCTCTTCTCAGGGCTGTCAGGTTTGCTTAACAAGCACAGGGCTGACTATAATCACTGCGCCAGTGTGCCTGAGACCACAGCTGCCAAGTTTCTGGAGTGAGGTGCCACCTTCTGCTTTAATTCAGGGGGTCTCAGGGGCAGGGTACCTTCCTCTCTGAATTAAGGGCGTAGGGAGGAATGTTAGCTGGGGTCCTCCAAGGGCTTAAAGAATAATCTAGCCACAGAATTAGGCAATCACAGGATACTCAGAGAGTGCTGGAAAATAGGTACAGCAGGCCTTCATCCAAATTAGCTCAAAGCCCATGGTTTGTTGTTTGATGAGATTTAGGAGATAAACGTTCCTGATAGAACCAAAGCCGCAAGTGGAAACTGCAATGAGCTTTATCCTCTTTGGATCCAGATGGTATAGCCCAGAGTGCTCTGCCTGAAGTCCCGGTGAGATTGTGGCCTGGTTATAGTTTAGATCAGCTATGGTGCATACCAAATAACTGTTGTTGGACAAGCTGTTTTTGTATTGCACTTAAGGCATCAAGTTCCACAACATTTGGAGCTCTTATCCCATTTGTTTCAGTCTGTTTCCTCAGCCGATAGCTCCCTCCAGTTAGGAACAAAGCCTTATCTTCTGTGTCCAGTGACCAGGTCTGACACGTAAGAAATGGGGAGACGATGAGAGAAGATTGTAAGAGGTATCTCTTTTGCTTCCGCCCCCCACCTTTCCTCTTCCTTTCAGTCTCCATTTCTCTCTCGGCTGCTCTCCATCTCTCCCTCTCTCCATCTCTCCCTCTCCCTCTTCCTTTCTTTTTTTTCAGGGTCTCACACTCCAACCCAGACTGACCTCAGCATCTGGAGTGCAAGCAGTACAGGCGTGCCACTGCCCCCAGCTCTGAAAGGCATCTCTGGTTCCATCTCTACAGTCTCTACATGCAAAAGCGCAGAGGTCGCTTTTGGCCACCAAGTGGCGCTCAGCCACCATGTAGGACCGACCCACTAACTTTTGCACGACGCTCCAAGTTTTGAACTTTGATTTGAAAGTGTCAGAAAGGTCAATTAACAAATTTAGGGGAATGCTCCCTGGGCACGAACGGCGCTCCGGCCTCTGGGGGGCTGCGGAAGGCGCGCCGGGTGCATGGGCGCGCGTCGGGACTTGCGTAGTCGCAGAGGGACGCGGGCCGGGGAGCCTCCGAGGCGCCCCCGAGGGGGCGGGCGGGGCGGAGGGCCGAGTGCGAGCGGTGCGGGGTGGCCGGGCCCGCGTCCAGGGAACCCGCAGTGTGCTGGCCCCCGCCCCTCCCCGGGGCTGGCCGCGCCGCTCCTCCCCTGGGTGGGTCCCCGCTCCTTTTCTGGCAGGCTCTATTTGCATAGAGGAAACTGCCCAAAGTGGCCGCTGCGGAGGAGCCGGCGGCGGCAAGGGGGGCGTGCGCGATCCGCTGCCTCCCGGAGCCCGAGCCCCGCGCCCCGCCGACCTCGTGCCTCGGCTCCGGCGCTCGGCCTGTAGCACCCGGCGGACAGCGGCCCACGCGCGCAGGTCTCACCATGAGCC